AACACGCCGGAACACGTCTGGCTCTCTTTTCGGCGTGTGTTGGTGCACGCCACGGCGAGGAGGCGGAGCAAAGACGGGGCACGGCCGGCACGGAGGATGGCCCGCTTTGGCGAGGCAACGTCTTGATTCGGCGCCCGTGCGTTCACCTTATCAAGCGCGACGTGCGGATAATTATTATTATCCGCAGCGCGCTGCCTCGGTCCGAAATTTGAAACGGATCCTTGATTAATATCAGCCCGTCCGTAGTGTTGTGCGTTAAGAGGTGGGCCTCCACTGCGAATCCCCGCCCCGGCCCTCCTTGATTGGCTTCGGCAGTGTTATTGCGTCGGTCGTGAGAAAGGTGCGCGACTCGACCCGAGGAATTCGGGTCTGAAACGTGTTTGTTTTGTTTTAAATTTATTTTTACGGTTGAGTTTGCAACCGTCGTATAGTTGCTCATAAACTAGGCGTCCTTTTCTCACCATCAGACACTGAAGATTTTCCACTGTTTCCGGTGACTGCCTGGTCCTGACAAAGACTCTAGACTCTTCTCGTTCTTCTTTTAATTCCACCGCCTTTCAAGACGCGGGAAAGCGGAAAAGCAGAGTCGAAACTAGGGTTATGTTGAAGGCGCTGGTTAATGCAATTACACATCCCGGACCGAGGCTTTCAGAACGGAACCGGCATGGCTGCACTGGCTGCGCTTGCAGTGGACTGCTTGGCCACGCTTGGCGCAAAGGGGGAGCGCTCCTTCGTTCCCTCTTCCGGATTAGCAGCGCCTCGCCTCCGCCTTGTGAGAGTGTGTAAAATCAGGAGGCATGAGCGCAAAACACCTTCACTATTCATTATTATTAGGTTGGTTTTCTGGACTCTCGAGTAAAAGCTAGCTGACACCTTAAAGTGTCTTGTATTTTTCTAGGTATGTATTGAAAGGTAAAGGTGTAAAGGTATCGTCTGCTAAAAGCTCCAGTGCAACTGTGCCCTGCATTTTCTCGCTGTCGAATGAATTCACACATCCAGCCACTCTTCGGAAAACGGTCGAGTTTCTCTGATTTCGCATCGGATTTTCGCTTTTTGCGACCGACCGGCTCGGAATGCCGGGCCGTGCCGCTCTTAAATAACTCCGCAGTGCTTGGCAGGGAAACGAAACGAGTCATCTCCGATTCAGAAATGCAACAATGGCGTGGCGGGAGTGTCCCCTGCCGGCCGGCCGGCCTGGCGGCTTGGCGCGGCTTGGCCCTGTCTGCCCGGCCCGGCTAGCTAGAGATGCTGCGGCTTCTGCTCCTTCCCACGGACAATACCCACGACACACGCACCCTAAAAAAAGAAATCAAAACGAAAGCTTTCCAGACAATAGATTGTACTGCGCCGTCCCTAACCTCACTCCGACGTGAACACCGCCGACGGGCACGGCCGGGCACGGCAGCGCGCGGCATAACAAGCGAGCGCACTGCCAAGAGCGATGCTCTCTTCCATAACGGTCCCATCAATGTATATTGCGCGCGAATGTCTCGAAGTGCGTGTAGGACAGCCCGACGGCCCGGCCGCCCCGGATGTCGTACCGCGTGCCGCGCGCCGCCCGTTTTGCTGTCGCTACCGAACATCCGAACGGGACGCTGTGGGCTGCTGTGCCGGGCCCGGGGCTTAGCGGGACGCAAGGCGGGACGCACTTCGATATCGCTCGTTGCCATCGATCCATTTGCAGCCAGTGACGACGTTTCAGCCCCCAATGTTTATTTATGGCCGCGTGCCACCCAGGTCGCCGACGGCCGGTGTGCCTCCGCCGCCACCAAGCCTCCACGGGCCACCGCGGACCGACCTCGGGGTGGCAATACGACAAACACAAAGAATCTGAGCACCATTTAAAAGTTTTAAATGTTTGTTGTTTGAGCCCTCCAGTTTTCCAGGGTTTCACACCTCCAGGGTTTCACGTTTCACTGCGACGACGCGCCTCTGTCTCCCGTTCGGCAGCAGCGGCGGCACCGGCAGTGCGTCTCTCTCGCTCTGCTAATAACCGGGGCGGAAAGGTAATGACAACATTTTCATACATCGTGCATAGTGCAGCCGGTGCGTGGGGGCCGCACGCGGCACGACGCGGACGTGAAAGCTGCAGCACTGTGAGTGTGTGTGTGAGCGTCTATGTGTGTGTGAGTGAACAAACCATCGCGGGCTTTCCATTCGGTTTTCGCGATGGGTGGCTTGTGGGCCAGTTTCTGCGCGCACCGCTGCCGTGCGGGTGGCTGTAGTGTCTGTGTGTGTGTTTGAGCTGTGATGGGAGTGAGTCTGTCGGTTCATCCGCATCGGGGAAACGAATACAATACGGTGAAACAGAGCGGAGGAAGTGGCTCGACGACCCTATCTCTCGCGTCTGTCTGTCTGTCTGTCTGTCTGTCTGTCTGTCTGTCCGTCTGTCTGTCCGTCCGTCCGTGCAGTAGCGTTGCGCCAGGCTGGCCACCGCAGCACGCGACGAAACGTCCTCCTCCACCAAGACGTGTGAAGAACTAGCCTCGTCGTGACAAACAGCCAAAAACACTATAGCCAGACGTGTTGGTGGTACGTATAGTTATTTGCGTTGATCGCGTGTGTCCAAGGTGTGTCGCCCGTATGAACGAAAATGGATCCCAGCGCGCGCCCGTGTGCAGAATGAGTGATTCTCAATTAACAATAATTGCTTGGCACACACACAAGCCGGCCACACACACGTGCGTCTTGTTTCCTATACCGCCCAGCGAGCGTGTATCACTGGTCTACTTAGTTGCGCTGCACCACGCTGCGTTCGTTACCCGCTGCGTGCGACACGTGTACTTTGTTGTTTTTGTTTTTTCCTGCGCTAGTACGGCACGGACCGTGACTGCTAAATGTGGCGCGCAGCCTAATGCATCCGGATAAATGGGTTCGTGTGGCGTGCCTGATGGGGTGGCTGGGGCTGGGGCCGAGCCGGACCGCCTCCGAGATGGCCCGGATGCCGCCCAAAACGGGTAGCGGCGCGCTGATTCCGAGAGGCGCTTTCGTCGCTCTGCCTCTCTCGCACTTATACTGGACGCCCCAGCAGTGCGAGAGGGACAGAGCGACGAGACGGACCCTCGGGGCCGGCTTGTCTGGAGCCCTGCCCAGCCGCTCGGACGCGCCCCGCGCGCCCCGCGCAGCCGACCGACCGATTCAGTGCTTTCGTCGCTCTGTGGCTCTCTCTCGCACTCTCGCCGGCCCGACAGAGACAGCGCGGCGAGGGCGCTTGTCGGACTCGGCCCGCAGTGCGGCCCGCCCCGGTCAATGGGTGCATTCCACTTGATCACGTAGTTCGTGCGGCCCGCCGCGCCGGGCTGTTCAGGGCAGTGCCGGGCCCAGGGCAGCCCAGGGCAGCCAGGCAGCCGGGTCAGAGTGCCGCTCCAGATGACGGCTGTTTGACTTTGCGCCGATTTTCGCGGCAGAGCCGAAGGAAAGAGAGCGGTCTGTAAAAAGAGAAGAAAAAACAGATCACGTCAGGACTCCCTGCGGCGCATTTATCTAGAATTTTGAACTTTAGCCAGGAGTGCCGACGCTGTGCCAACATCTTTTCTTCGCCTCCGTCGTACTCACTTATTGGCGACGGATTCAGAAAACACACACACACACACACACACACACACACACACACACGACAGTGGCCAGACCGGCCGTCCAAGCGAAAGGGAAAGGAAGAGAAGGGCCACTCCAATCCACAATAACAAAAACAACAACGACGACAACAAGAGCAACAGCAAGATGCATTGTGCTTCGGTTGGACACCCAGTGTGCCACCACCGCTTCAGTTATGCATCGCTTCGGTCGCCGCGTCCGTCGTGGTGTCATTCCGCTTCCTGGTCCTGGTCGTCGCCGCCGTCCCCGCCGCACAGTGGGCCAGAAGACCGGTGGAAGCGGACGAAACTCTAGACGCGTTTTGAGCTCCAGAGTCGCTAGATGGGACTCGAACCGAACGTGTGACCCCACCAATGGATTGCTCTCCGAACGAGGAATCCATTGATGGGGTCACACGTTCGGTTCGAGGCCTGTTTAGCGACTCTGGAGCTCAAAACGCGTCTAGAGTTTTGTCCGCCAGCACCGGTCTTCTAGCCCACTGTGCGCCGTCCTGGCTGTGCCGCGCTGCGGTCGCTGCCGTTGGCCGTTGTGATGCGTGTCGCGAAGGTGTGCGGCTTGCTTTGTGGAGCCGTCCGAGAAGAGGAGAGCGGTGAAAGGATGAGAATGTTGTGATGTCACGAGCGAGTGCATTATTATGCAGGGTTGGCCCGGGCCGGGCCTGGCCTCGGCCTGGCCGGTTCCCACAGCTTTGGCAAATGGAAAAGCTGCGTTCTCGCTGCGCGCTGGTCGAGCAGGGGGCAGTTGGAGCGGGCCAGGGCCTGGCCGCCGGGCTGCTGACGAGCCGCGCAGACGCGCACGCGTTCAAATGTGCCCGCGCCCCGCCGCCCCGCGCCGCCCCGGTCGGCTCCTTTTCGGAACCGGCTCGCCGGCCGCGGCCTCGGCTGCTCTCTCGGTCCAGCCATCCAGCGATCCAGCGATCCACACTGTAAATGTCTTACGGTGAAAGGCTGCACCAACATAATATGGTGGAGATTTTCTCCATAATAAGAACTGAAATTCGTCAAAATATCTAAGATACAGTGAATCCTCAATGGTATGTTACGAAGTCAGCTGCTTCACCATAACATAGAACATTTTCACCATAATATAGAGAATCTTCACTGTACAACATTTAGAGTGCAGCGATCCAGCGCCCAGCCCGGCCCAGCCTCCCAAACCCGAACCCACCCGACGCCGCGCCGCGAGCCGGCCGAGCCGAGGCCGGGACCGAGCGCAGCCGAGGTCGGGCGTGCGGGTGCGCGTCGCGCCGAGCCGAGCCGAGACACCTGCCATGCACCGCGGCGGCAGCGGCAGGTTGCGCTCAGGCCGCGGCTCAGGTGGCGCTCCCTGGCGGCCGGCTGGCCAGGTGCCGCGCGGAGAAAGAGCGAGGGAGGGAGAGACTCTCACTGGCCCGGCCGCGACCGCGACGCGATGGAGGGGCAGGGCCGGCAGGGCAGTCGCGACTCAGACACCGCAGTGGGCACACCGTGTACTCCGTGACGCCCTGCTCCGTCTGCTTTGCGCTTCGCTCCGCCGCGGTGCACGTCGATCGCATACCAACCCCGCAGCCTCGTGTTAACGTGTGCGCGAGTGTCCGTTTTTCCCGGCATGGCGGCGGCCAGGACAGGGGAGTGTGGGTGAAGGACGTGGTTGGAGAGCAGTGAAGTTTCAAGTTGTCAAACCGCAGTGGCGGTTGCAGTGTGTGTTTGTGTGAGTGTGGTGGCGGCGGCACTCTGACGAGTTGAAGAGGACAGTTTGGATAAAACGCCCTTTGGATTTGGAGTACCCGCAGCACGGAGACGATTCAAACACCAAGTGAGATCCTTAGTCGAGTTAAGACCATTCACTATTTGTGGTGCTGTCCGTGGATGGCAAAGCGAAACTGCCTCACCCAAGCCTTGCCTGGTGGTGCCAGGCCCAAAAGTGCAGGCTGGCTAACGTCCTATAATTTTGCGGCTTGTGCGATAACAGTCCTAAAATGAGACGGTTAATGTCCTGCTTGGCTTAGATCTGATGGTCGCGACAAACCACAGCCTCCTTGCCTTGTGCAAAGCAGACGGCTCGGCACCGCCAGAAGCCAGAAGGACAGCGTGATGGCGCAGGTGATAAGCCCAAAACGGGGCCCGCGCGCCCGCGCCGTGTGCGCTTGAATGGCGGGTGCATGGAGCCCATTCATTGGCTGGCTCAGCACGGCGCGGCGGGGCGCGGCATTAACACTGCTGCCTAATTTCTCCCGCCGCGTGTGTGTTGCCCTGCCCTGCCGCGCCGTGCCGCGCCGCCCGGAGCCCGGCACCGCCGCCGGGTGAAAGTTACAAATATCAAAATGATTTTGGCGCGGAAACGGCGGCGACAGCCACTCACTGCCGTCCTTGACGACGACGTCGTCGTAGTGGTTCTTGCCAATCTCGGACGGAAACCAGCCGGCCGGGGACGCACAAAAAGAAAGGACACTCGCTCCACCTGTCTCTCTGTCTCGCTCGCGGCGGCGGCTCGCCTCGTAGGTGCCCGTGGGTGGGAGTGAGGCAGAGCGAGGCCGCTGCGCCGCCCTGCCGCCCAATCGGATCGCATCGGCGCCCCCGGCGGCGTTTCCGAATCGCTCCGAATGCAACCGGCTCGGCTCGGCGCGGCCCGGCTCGGCTCGGAGATCGCCTCGGATCGGCGCAGGTTGGTGTGTCATGTGGGTAGCGAGAGACCCGCCGCCGCCTTCACGCGCTTCGCCGCGCCGCGCCGCCGGCCCGGGCGGATCCGAGCCGGGCCTTGACGAGTGGAGCCTTGCCAAGCCTGCCAAGCCGGGGCCGGCGGGACGCGGGGCCGAGCAGAGCCGAGCCAGCGGAACGCCTCAAGTCAAGTCAACTCTCCCTTTCCGATTACCTCGCGGTGCCTCGCGGTGCCTCGCGCTGCCTCGCGGGCCGCCCCGCCACTGCAAGACTGCGAGACGAGACGCCGAGACGCCCGGGATGGCAAGGATGCGAGGCCGCCTGGCCCGGCCCTACAAGGCCTATCAGCAGGCCGATTCCGAACAGTCCTCTGTCTCTCTCGCACTAACGGGGCGTTCCGTTCCGTTGCGAGAGAGACGGAGCGACGCAGCCTGCTGCACGCTGCTTCGGCCACCAAGAAATTGCCCCCTGGTTTCCCTGGAATAGGCAGGTGCACGCGGGCCGCGGCGGACCCGAAAGAAAAACGGAAAAAGAGTGGACGAAAAAAACGCGGAGAATGCACGCACGCTCGCGCGCTCGCTGCAACGGCGGAGGCGGCAGATATGGAATTAAATTGGGATCGCATCCGGGCGTGCGGGAGTGGGGCAGGGTGGGGGGGCGTGGGCGGGGGTCCGAAAAGGGATCCCTCAACGGCTGGCCGGCCCTGCAGGGCGACGAGGGCCAGGGAGTCGAGGGGAGTGCAGCGGCCTGGAACTCCCTTCACCGCCCCCTCTTTTATCCGTGGATGTCTTCCTTCCCCCCTTTGTTGTGTTGGTCATCCGGGTGCTGCGGTGTGTGCTGCCCGCCGCCCTGCCGCGCCCTGCCGCGCCGCCGCCCGCGTCGTGCGGAACACCCGCCCAAAAAAGGTCGGCAGGGCCGGATGAACGAGTAGAGGAACAACCAGGAGCCCAGCACCTCTCCGAGGACCGCTGAAGACCGCCCAAAGGCCCTGCTGCGACTACTGGACAGTGAAGACCTTCGAAAGCCCACAGGAACATCACCCGTAGACCACTGGAAGATCAGTTTCAACCACAAAACCATGTCAAACCAAGGTTCCGCGCCAAGCAGGTCTTCGCAAGAGGCGCCTTCCCATGCGATGCTCCAGGCATCCATTTGCACTCACTAGAGAGACCCGGGGGCCTCCGCGTCTCTCTAATTTGCACCAGTCAGTCATTCGCCCGCCTGTGCGTGCGTGCGTGTGCGTGCGTCTGTGTGTGTGACCGCATCTCGACCCCGTCACTCCTGATGAGCGTTAATAGTTGCAGGTGGCTCTCCTAACGACGGGCCCCTTCTTGTCGTCGCCTTGTACGGTGTAGTGGTGCAGGCGCTAAACGCGTGCATGTTGATGGATGCACTGCGCGCGCCATACGCGGCGTGAGGACCGCCACGACCGCCACACTGGCGCTGACGTGGTTAGGAGTGCGTCCCGGCCCTTCCGCACAGTGGGCCAGAAGACCGGCGGAGCGGCCAAAATTCTAGACGCGTTTTGAGCTCCAGAGTCGCTAAATGGGACTCGAACCGAACGTGTGACCCCACCAATGGATTGCTCTCCGAACGAGGAATCCAGTGGTGGGGTCACGCGGTCGGTTTGTGTCCCATTTAGCGACTCTGGAGCTCAAAACGCGTCTAGAATTTTGGCCGCTCGACCGGTCTTCTGGCCCACTGTGTTCCGTCGCTCTGTCTCTGTCGCACTCAGTCTCAGTGGGCACTCCGAACCCCACACGGCACCGCTGGCGCTAACGTGATAAGAAGTGCGCGTCCCGCCGCTCTGCCTCTCTCGCTCCCCTGTGGTGTCCGTGGGGTGCGAGAGAGACAGAGCGAGTCGGGGAGCGCTGCCCGACCCGTTATCAACCCGCTTACGTCTGGTGACACAATTTGTGGCTGGTCCGGTCCGCTCGGCCGAGGCTTGCCCCGAGGCCTGCCCGGCCAGCGTGCCGTCGTGGACGTCGTGGACGTCGTGGACGTCGTCGGGAAGAAGCAGCGGACTCCGATGCAGCGCAGCCGAGCCTAGTCGAGCCTTCCGAGCCGCGTCAGCTCCGCTAATGCAGCGGCCGAGTCACCGGCCCAAATTGCACTGGATCTGTCACTAACGAACCTGCCCGTTCTGCACGACACTGCCACGCACTGCCAGCAGCTCCAACAGTGCTTCATCGTCACCCTGTCTCTCTCGCACCCCTGCGCCGCGCCCCGCGAGAGGGAGAGAGACGGCCGCTCTGCCCTCGGCTCTGCCGCGCCCTGCCCAAACGCCAAGCGGAGCGGCCCACCACCAATACCGGCTGGGCGGGGCGGGGCGTGGCGACTGGATTCGAGTGCGCTGCGCGGGGGCTTTGACCCGAACCCGTCCTGTCCCTACGAGATCCGTGTTGGAGCGGGTCACTCTCTTGGGGTCCCGGTCCCGTTGCGCGTCGGGGCTGCCTGCCTCTCTGGGTGATCCCTCGGGATCCCCGGGGCCATGCCGGGGCCATGCCGGGGCAGAGCGTGCGCGGCGGGGGCGGGGCCGCGGCGGCACGGCGGCACGGCGGCGCACTTGAAGGGCTCCCTTGCCGGTGACGTGGGGCTCGGGCCGCCAGAGAGTCACTCCAATCGATGAACGGGATCCCAGGTAATTACCGAAACGGGCGATCGGTATCTGGGCGGCCGGACTCGCTGGACTACGACGTGAGTGTCCGAGACACATGTCTAGTCGAGTGAGCGGTGCGGCGCGGTGCGGCCGGGTTCAATGCCCGCGTTAACGGGCCGGGCTCACCAAAGTTTGAGAGGAACTTTGGAGTGAGGCTTGCTTCAACTTTGGGGCCTCCTTGTCCTGGTGCATGGCGGCGCGGCGGCACAGCTGCGCGCTGCTGGCGCTGCTCGAGATGGCCATCGAGGGTTGGAAAGAAGCGGCGGGGCGACACACGCCTAACTGTACAGAGAAAGCGCGCGATTCTGAGTACAAATGCTCGTTAATACGGCCCCGCCCCGCCCCGCCCCGCCCCGCCCCGCCCCGCCCCGCCCCGCCCCGCCGCGACGCGCCCGGATCGGAGCGCTGCAGTGCCCCGGCACGCAATCTTAAGTATTCGCAGCTACTCGGCGATACCATCACTGCCTATAAGGATGCGTGTTTCTCCGTCTCTTTCGCTCCACTAGAAAAAAAAGAAGAAGAAGACAAGAAAAAAGTAGAGAGAGAAAAAAAATAGTGCCGCGCCCCTCGGCGGGACTCGAACCTCGAACCCAGCGGGACGCACTTCCGCCTCATTTCGGCCCTAGTTGTTTTCCCGCCCACCTGTCGCCCCGCCGGACTTTCTTCCGTTGTTTATCCCGGGGCGCCCCGCCGCGGCCGCGGGACGCTGGCGGCGCCGGCACGCTGTCATGGTGAAGGAGAGGCCTGCTCTGCCCTGCCGTGTCCTGGACGCGCTGGTAATGGATTTACAGTGTAGGCAGTGCCCCGGGGCCGGCCCCTGCGTCACGCGTACGTAGGCAGACCCGCGCAACGCGCATGCACACACACAGTCACACACACACACACACTCACACGCACACACACAGTCACACACACTACGCGTTTGACTTTAAAACTGCACCCGACTGCACCGCTGCACCGGTTGCAACGGGCCGCGTGCTCGCTGCGCTTGCTGCCTGCACTGCTTGGCTCGGTGCGCGGCAGTTGCATTTGCCCCGCGAATAGTGCGCGCGCTTCGGCGCTTCGGCGGCCCGCGGAGTAGAAACGGCAATTTAAAGAGCATAAAAAATATAGAGGAGAAGTTGAGCGGTTCGCGCACGGCGCGGCATCTCCTGGCGGACCTCACCGGCACCGCATACGTGTACTCTACTCTGTACGTTTGGTTATCAGTCCGTGACGGCTGAGTGCTCGTTGCCCCGCGGCGTGGAGGGGGAGGGGGGGGGGCGTCGGCGCGGCCGATCTGCGGCGCCCACAGCCAATGACACGTAAGTAAGTTGCTTGGCCGCGGTTATAACAGACACGGCCGTCGATGAAAAATAAATGAGTCGGATTATCATGGGCGCTCGGATTCCGCGGGCAGGGAGACCGTGGCCTTGTGTGTGTGCTAGCGGCTCGCGGCCAGAGAGAGAGAGAAAGAGGGAGAGAGAAAGAGAGAGAGAGAGAGAGAGCGAGGGGCGGCA